ACCACTAGGACCAGGACATGGGGTGGGCAGGAGGGGACGGTTGCCCTGGGTGCAGGGTTTTACTGTATGGATGGGAGCTTATTCTGATATAAAGCATTTTGACATGTGAATGACTGCTGGGGGTGGCATCCTCTAACCGTGCACATAAAGAAGGTAGGACACAGTTTGGCATCTTTGCCCTGGGTACTGGACGACCTTGTCCCAGCATTGCCACCACTTCATGTCTACATGAGCTCCATTGATGGCTGTATGGCATTTCTCAGGGTGGGTTTCCATCAAGTATGTCCCATCTTGTATACCTATATATATATATATTAATTTATTTATATTTTTTAATTTCATTTCTTTTTTCATTTTTTAAAATCTTTTTGCCAAAGTATAGATCCATGTTTGCCCCCAGCATGTTTGAATCTACTTGTTGACTGACTCTCTGCCTTTGCTGAGAGTCTATTCCAAGCCTCAACTACTCTATTGGTAAGATAACATTTTCTAAGGTAAAATTTGTACTTTCCTCTTGCTAGTTTGAGGTCATGTCCCCATGTTCTTGATCTTACCTTCGTATCAACAGGATGACAACCAGGGCTTTTTTTTTTTTCAGCAGAAATTTTGGGAATTGTATTTCTGGCACCTCCAGCACTGTATGTACACTAGATTGCCAAAGGTATTGGGCCGCCTGCCTTTACACGCACATGAACTTTAATGGCATCCCAGTCTTAGTCCGTAGGGTTCAATATTGAGTTGGCCCCGCCCTTTGCAGCTATAACAGCTTCAACTCTTCTGGGAAGGTTTAGGAGGGTGTCTATCGGAAGGTTTGACCATTCTTCCAGAAGCCCATTTGTGAGGTCAGGCACTGATGTCAGACGGGAAGGCCTCGCAGTCTCCGCTCTAATTCATCCCAAAGGTGTTCTATGGGGTTGAGGTCAGGACTCTGTGCAGGCCAGTCAAGTTCCTCCACCCCAAACAAGCTCATCCATGTCTTTATGGACCTTCCTTTGTGCACTGGTAGGCAGTCATGTTGGAACAGGAAGAGGCCATACCCAAACTCTACCCACAAAGTTGGGAGCATGAAATTGTCCAGAATGTCTTGGTATGCTGACACCTTAAGAGTTCCCTTCTCGGGAACTAGGGGTCCAAGCCCAACCCCTGAAAAACAACCCCACACCTAAAATAGATATATTTGGTGAAGCATGGTGGACTAAGTCAGACCCTGGTTTCCTATGTCTTGGAGTTTCCAATAGGAAGATCTCTATGCCATAATTTCCTTCTCTGTTGCTGTTCACCTGGAAGCTTTGGGTGTTACCACCACACGTGTGTGTACCAGCTTCTCCTGCTACATTCTCCATAATATAAAATACACCAGTTGCCTAGAAGGCTGCGGAAACCAGACCATCACAGATGAATGAGTTTGTTGGACATCCTATTCCAAAACCATGGCTATTAATTGGACTCGGCCCCTCTTTAACATCCTCACTCTTCTTGGAAGGCTTTCCACAATAATTAGGAGTGTGTCTGAGTCGATTTGCGCTTTTTTAGCCAAAAAAGCATTTGTGAGGACAGGTACTAATGTTGGAGGAAAAGACCTGGCTCACAATTGCTATTCCAATTCATCCCAAACAGGGTTGAGGTCATGGCTTTGTGATCAACACTCATGTTCCCCCAAATGAAGTTAGTCAAACCATGTTTTTATGGAGCTGTCCACCATTCATGAGATCAAGTACGAATGTTGGCTGGCTCACAATCAGCGTTCCAATTTATCCCAAAGGTGTTCACTAGAGTTGAGGCCAGGGCTCTGTGTAGACCATTCTAGTTCCTCCACACCAACTGGTCAAACCAAGTCTTTATGGAGCTGACTTTATACCCAGGGGCACAGTCGTGCAGGAACAGAAAAGGGTCTTCACCAAACAATTACCACATGGTTGGAAGTGCACAATTGTCAATATTGTCTTTTTATGCTGTATTAATAACAGCACCCTTTCCTGGAAACATCTGAACTTAGTAATTCGTAGAGGTGCCCAAATTCTTCTGTTTATACAGGTTAGTGTGATGGTCAGGTCACCACATAGCTTGACCATACAGTGCAAATAAAAAAATGCATCAGAGATCATAGGAACCCTATAGCTGGTGTTCAAACCTGGGAATTCAGCACAGATATCTCACCAATAGAGACCCTCAAAGAGAGAAGGAAGTAACTGTCACATGTAGGGGCGGACTGACCATTAGATTGTACACTCCTTGAGGGATAGGGACCTTAGATTGTACACCCCTTGAGGGTTAGGGACCTTAGACTGTACGCTCCTTGAGGGTTAGGGACCTTAGATTGTACACCCCTTGAGGGATAGGGACCTTAGATTGGACACTCCTTGAGGGTTAGGGACCTTAGATTGTACGCCCCTTGAGGGTTAGGGACCTTAGATTGTACACCCCTTGAGGGTTAGGGACCTTAGACTGTACGCTCCTTGAGAGTTAGGGACCTTAGATTGTACCCCCCTTGAGGGTTAGGGACCTTAGATTGTACGCCCCTTGAGGGTTAGGGACCTTAGATTGTACGCCCCTTGAGGGTTAGGGACCTTAGACTGTACGCTCCTTGAGAGTTAGGGACCTTAGATTGTATGCTCCTTGAGGGTTAGGGACCACCAGGGGCAGACTGACCATTTGGAAACATGGGCACTGCCCGGGGTCAGTAGGGGTCCCCATGAGATGCCCCTGGTACCTTTTTCATAGGCTTTTTTGAGTTTGGGCAAGGACACAGGGGCCCCATGATCCCTATTGCCCGGGGGCCCCATGAGTTGTCAGTCAGCCCCTGGTCACATGGTTTAACTCTACAACAGCTACGAAAGAGTGAAATACCACTTTTGGATGGACTAACCCTTTAAGGTATAGGATAAGCGTTTCCTTATGCACAGTCATAGTCTGCCTTTTATAGACTGGTTGTAAATTTCTGCATAATTGGTGACCAAAAATACATTCTTACGCTTCATTCGTCCTTGTTGAATAACTGTATACAGAGACTACAGCCACGAAAAGTGTGGGTCAGCAATTTGTGTCCTACTCTTGCTGACAGGCCTGTACACACAGGTGCTTAAGTGCCTGTACTGGCATACCATTAGTAAAACTAATTAGCAACACTTTGTTAGATCCCAATGCATATATTGGTGCTGGACGGAAAACGGCCCCACCGGGAACACAAAAGCTTTATAACCTGTAGTAAAACTTGGAGTGAGTTTAAAGGAAAATACATTTTATTGCAGCTCTCTCATTTTTGTTACTGTCAATTCCCATTACCTCTTTGTCAAGCATGAAAATGCTTACTCATTGGTGGTGTAGCAACAGGCATGGTAGAGGTAACAAATGCTACTCCAGCTCTCTTGGTGGTCCATCTCTGACCCTGGTTGAAGAATGTTTACTGTGCCATTGGAAGATCTACCACTGTGCGCTTTTTAGTTACATCATTAGGTTGTTAAAATCACATTTAATCAAGAAGATTTAACTGGAATTTTCCTTTGTGTCTCTTGTGTAAATACATGGATGGTCCATAGATCACGTAGTAGTTAACTTGGTTCAAAGTTGTCCACTTTAAGTTATTGCAAAAGGCAAGAGGTCACTTTTCCACCTAGAGGAAATGTAGTCTATCTCAGCCTACAGAAAGGTTTTTCTATCACAGCCAAGTCTGAAGATGAGAAATAGTCTTCAACAGGAGCTGGGTCTAGCCCAGTGTTTCTCAACTCCAGTCCTCATGGACCCCCAACAGGTCATGTTTTCAGGATTTCCCTCAGATGAAACAGCTGTGGTAATTACTAAGGCAGTGAAACTGATCAAATCACCTGGGCAAAATAATGGAAATCCTGAAAACAGGACCTGTTGGGGGTCCATGAGGACTGGAGTTGAGAAACACTGGTCTAGCCAAACTCAGTAGATTGCTTCAAAAATTGGCTGGGTGTGTTTCCAAATATACAAAATACGACCGACCATTAATAATGATAGGAAACTGCACCATAGGTTGTTGATCCTGGAAGAATCAGATTGCCTTCAAGGATCAGAAAAGAAAATATTTTCTCTTCTTGACCAAAATGGACCAGAATGGTGACCGGATGACTCCCTACATCAACATTCTACACTCACCTCCAAATATACAAAATACGACCGACCATTAATAATGATAGGAAACTACACCATAGATTGCTGATCCTGGAAGAATCCGATTGCCTTCAAGGATCAGAAAAGAAATTATTTTCTCTTCTTGACCAAAATGGACCAGAATGGTGACCGGATGACTCCCTACGTCAACATTCTACACTCAACTCCAAATATACAAAATACAACCGACCATTAATAATGATAGGAAACTGCACCATAGATTGCTGATCCTGGAAGAATCCGATTGCCTTCAAGGATCAGAAAAGAAAATATTTTCTTTTCTTGACCAAAATGGACCAGAATGGTGACCGGATGACTCCCTGCGTCAACATTCTACACTCACCGGCCACTTTATTACGTCCACCTTGCTAGTACCGGGTTGGACCCCTTTTTGCCTTCAGAACTGCCTCAATTCTTCATGGCATAGATTCAACAAGGTGTTGGAAACATTCCTCAGAGATTTTGGTCCAAATTGTTACTGTTGCCTTTCTATCATCTCAAACCAGTCTGCCCATTCTCCTCTGACCTCTGATATCAACAAGGCATTTTTGTCCACACAACTGCCACTCACTGGATGTTTTCTCTTTTTTAAGACCGTTCTTTGTAAACCCTAGAGATGGTTGTGCGTGAAAATCCCAGCAGATCAGCAATTTTTGAAATACTCAGACCAGCCCGTCTGGCACCAACAACTAAGGCACGTTCAAAGTCACTTAAATCCCCTTTCTTCCCCATTCTGGTGCTCGGTTTGAACTTCAGCAAGTCTTCTTTATTACGTCTTGATGCCCAAACACATTAAGTTGCTGCCATGTGATTGGCTGATTAGCAATCTGTGTTACCAAGCAATTGAACAGGTGGACCTAATAAAGTGGCCGGTGAGTGTATAAAGTAACCTCTTTGAAATTAGTAGCTGTGCATTTAGAAACACATCTGGACTTCTGAAACAATCTACTGAGTTGGCTAGAACCAGCCCATGTGAAAGTCTACTACGTATTTTAGATCCCTTTACCAGGGGCGGACTGACAACTCATGGGGCCCCCGGGCAATAGGGAATCATGGGGCTCCTGTGTCCTTGCCCAAACGCAAAAAAGCCTATGAAAAAAGTACCAGGGGCATCTCATGGGGTCCCCTACTGGCCCTCGGCCAGTATGTGGAGGTTGAACCTCTTTTTTTTCTTCAAAAGAGGGGTTAGGGTTAGCATAACAATTCTGAATACAATAAAATCCAAAACTCTGCTGTAGTTGCTTATAAAGAGTGAGCTGGAGTTTGGTTTCAATCTGTTAGTGTATTTAAATCTGCTACTACATCTGTCACTCCCCTTCCTCCAGACTGACAATGCTGCTGTCTGCTGTGCCACCTGTGCTCTTCCCTCCAGAGTTATGTCTCACTAATGCAGGAGGTGTGTTACTGGTCAGATCACCAGGTGAAAATGGCCAAAGAAAAGAAAACTGATTAGTAAGCTGCAATATATTGCATATTTGGTATGGGGATTAAAGCGGAGTTCCACCCAAAAGTGGAAGCTCCGCTTATTTGCCTCCTTTTCTCACACATTTGGCACCTTTTGGGGGGCAGAGGGGGGTGCAGGTACCTGGTTGTGACAGGTACCCACTCCCACTTCTGACTTTGCTGGAAGTTTGGGCCCCCCTCCACAGCCCTCTGGGACATTGCACAGGTCCCGGAGGACTGCGACCCATTTTTACAAAGTGCAGTGTGCTTCGCACATGCACAGTAGGAAACTGGCCGTGAAGCTGCAAGGCTTCATTGCCAGTTTCCCTTAGTCAAGATGGTGGCGCCAGCGCCTGACAGCCGATTGGAGAATCAGCTCGGGGTAAGGACATCGCTGGATCCCTCGACAGGTAAGTGCCCTAAGATTAAAAATCAGTAGCTACAGAATTTGTGGCTGATGCCTTTTAATTTTTCTTTTTTTGGGGGGCGTGGGAAGGGACTCCTCTTTAATACCCTCCCAGGGGCGGACTGACCATTTGGAAACTTGGGCACTGCCCGTGGGCCCGGGGTCAGTAGGGGGCCCCATGAGATGCCCCTGGTACCTTTTTTGAGTTTGGGCAAGGACATAGGGGCCCCAAGATCCCCTATTGCCTGGGGGCCCCATGAGTTGTCAGTCCTCCCCTGTACCCTCCTCTCCTTTACGGCCAAGCAACCTGCCATCATAGCCTCAGTTTGATCTGCAGTTTCCATGCTGCTGCCCATGTGATCATTTATCGCACCAGCCATTTGATGGCTTGATAGTTAAGTTGAGAGCACGAGCAACTGTGACAGGTATCGTTCATGGCATGCCTTGATTGTAACTGTTGGCTTTAGTTCTGACAGCTATAGTCTGGTTACTGCGAGTAATACAGGTATATATTGGATTTCTTTTTATTAATGACCAGGGGCGGACTGACAACTCATGGGGCCCCCGGGCAATAGGGGATCATGGGGCCCCTGTATCCTCACCCACCGTCAAACCACACCCAAAAAAGCCTATGAAAGGTACTAGGGACATCTCATGGGGCCCCCTACTGACCCTGGGCCCACGGGCAATGCCCGAGTACCCAAATGGTCAGTCCGCCCCTGTTAATGACCCTTATTGTACATGAGCATCCCTCATTGTGTACGCGATGGTAAAGGTGGACGGGACGTTGACAAAGCTGCCTTCACCTTTTTTTCCTCATCATTACCATTCGTCATGAGCTTTGACAGCAACCTGGAACGGCACCAGCAAACCTCTTGATTTTCTCTCCGAAATAATCCATATACTCCCAAGCCACTCATCAGCCATCTGTATCCTACCCATCATGCCGAGCGGAGGGGGTCCCCAGGGGGCACTTCTGAGCTGGAGGAGCTGGAGAACAATTGATGTATTTTAGCTGCACATCCTTCTATGAAGGTGCTCCCCGCTCTGCTCTGATTGGCCCATGTATTGTAAATTCTACATTTTTAAATATTAGAGACTCCAGCGTTTTTTTATACCCAAAAATCTTACCCAGCATTCATAGCTTGTGTCCAGAAATGTACAATTTTTAAATCACTTTCCAACAGCACTATAGCCGACAGACAGCTGCAGCGTGGCTCTCCGGTTTTGGGAGGAGGTCCATGAAATGTCCTCCTACGTGTGCGTCCCCTGGGGCGTGCTCTGTGACCGCTGTGTCCTTTGGACACACCTGATCACAGATCACCTTAAAGGGCCAATTACAGCAGTCCTTTACCATGTAATCAGTTGTGTTCAATCACAGCTGGTCACTCGTAAACACACTCCAGTTATTAAATTTCCTTTCCTCGCACATATTGTCTCTCACAAGGCACAGTGAGTATTTATTTATTACAGGTACTTATATAGTACCATCAATTTACGCAGCACTTTACATATATATTGTACATTTCCACCAGTCCCTAACCCTCAAGGGGCGTACAACCTAAGGTCCCTAACCCTCAAGGGGTGTACAATCTAAGGTCCCTAACCCTCAAGGGCGTAACAATCTAAGGCGTACAATCTAAGGTCCCTAACCATCAAGGGGCGTACAGTCTAAGGTCCCTAACCCTCAAGGAGCGTATAATCTAAGGACCCTAACCCTCAAGGGGGAATCGTACAATCTAAGGTCCCTAACCCTCAAGGGGTACGTACAACCCTCAAGGTCCCTAACCCTCAAGGGCGTACAATCTAAGGTCCCTAACCCTCAAGAAGCGTACAATCTGAAAAAGGTCCCTAACCCTCAAGGGAGTAGAATCTAACCCTCAAGGGTCCCTAACCCTCAAGGGGCATACAGGTCCCTACCTAAGGTCCCTAACCCTCAAGGGGTGTACAATCTAAGGTCCCTAACCCTCAAGGAGCATACAATCTAAGGTCCTTAACCCTCAAGGGGCGTACAATCTAAGGTGGTCCCCAGGGGCGGACTGACAACTCATAGGGCCCCCGGGAAATAGGGGATCATGGGGCCCCTGTGTCCTTGCCCAAACTCAAAAAAGCCTATGAAAAAGGTACCAGGAGCATCTCATGGGGCCCTCTACTTACCGGGCCCTCGGGCAGTGCCCAAGTTTCCAAATGGTCAGTCCGCCCCTGGTGGTCCCTAACCCTCAAGGAGCATACAGTCTAAGGTCCCTAACCCTCAAGTAGCATACTGTCTAAGGTCCCTAACCCTCAAGGGCGTACAATCTAAGGTCCCTAACCCTCAAGGGGTGTACAATCTAAGGTCCCTAACCATCAAGGGGCATACAACCTAAGGTCCCTAACCCTCAAGGGGTGTACAATCTAAGGTCCCTAACCCTCAAGGAGCATACAATCTAAGGTCCTTAACTCTCAAGGGGCATACAATCTAAGGTGGTCCCCAGGGGCGGACTGACAACTCATGGGGCCCCCGGGAAATAGGGGATCATGGGGCCCCTGTGTCCTTGCCCAAACTCAAAAAAGCCTATGAAAAAGGTACCAGGAGCATCTCATGGGGCCCTCTACTTACCCCCGGGCCCTCGGGCAGTGCCCAAGTTTCCAAATGGTCAGTCCGCCCCTGGTGACAATCTAAGTCCTAACCCTCAATCCGGTGTACAATCTAAGAGGTGGTCCCTAACCCTCAAGGAACATACAATCTAAGGTTCCTAACCCTCAAGGAGCATACAATCTAAGGTCCCTAACCCTCAAGGGACGTATAATCTAAGGTCCCTAACCCTCAAGGGGTGTACAATCTAAGGTCCCTAACCCTCAAGGGGCATACAATCTAAGGTCCCTAACCCTCAAGGAGCATACAATCTAAGGTCCCTAACTCTCAAAGATCATACAATCTAAGGTGGTCCCCAGGGGCGGACTGACAACTCATGGGGCCCCCGGGCAATAGGGGATCATGGGGCTCCTGTGCCCTTGCCCAAACTCAAAAAAACCTATGAAAAAGGTACCAGGGGCATCTCATGGGGCCCCCCTACTGACCCCGGGCCCTCGGGCAGTGCCCGAGTTCCCAAATGGTCAGTCCGCCCATGGTCCCCTGGCAGGGGCGGACTGACAACTCATGGGGCCCCCCGGGCAAAAGTGTAGACTGTAAAAGTTTTATTAAAATCAAATAAAATTACACACAAATTAATTTGTGTAAAATCAGGCACATCAGTAAGTCCATGAGCCGGTGACGTGTCCTCTGCCGCTGATGTTGTAAAGCCGTCGCCCTCTCGGCTCCCTGGTCGGCTGGAAAGTGAAGGGGACCCAGAAGGAGGGCTGGAACGCAACTGGAACTGCAGGGCTGGGTGGGGGTGACGTCACCGAAAATGACGCAACGCATGCGCAAAGCCGACTGACGTCAGGCGGTCTCCTTTCTCAGGGGATTGCCTGTTTGATCGCCTTGTCTGATCAATTGTAATTTACACCAGCAAATTTTTTTTGATTGGTTTCCAGCTCATTTGATATTTTTTTTGGTAAGATACCCTCCATCAGCCTTCGGAATATACTTACATGTGTGGTTATATTTTTATTTTTTTTGGAACGCTTATATGATATAGTAAATGTGTTCAATATTAATTTTTGTAATGAATATGACTTTGTCTACCTCAGGTGTTGATGTAAATTACCTCCTGAAGAAGCCTGGAATGGGCGAAACATGTTGAGATTCATGACACCTGGACAATGATCGAATGAGAAACAACTATTATATTGATGTTTAAATTCAGAACAGTTTTTCATATTCAATGATTTTATGAATTTTAACTTCTCTATGAATCAATAAAAAAATTGCCAATTTTAGTTTTTTTTGTTGTGTATATCATTAATGGCACCCTAAAAAACCACACCTCCTTGGGAAGGTTCCCCCTTTTTTTTTTCTTGCTTTCAGTATATTCTATGGGATGTGGTGCTGTTGAGCTCTTCTCTGACCATTTCAACTCTTGTGCTGTGTTGTGTAATGTGCGTTTCTCCCTCTAAACCCTGTGGGTGAGGTTGCAGAGGGCCCAGAGATGGCACTGCTTGGAACCAGGGAACACCGTGGCATTCATTTTCATTTCAATATAAAGGTGCAGCGCTAAGACATAATGTGCAAAATAATGCGTATTAAATCACATAAATCACATAAAGTGAAAAATAGGATGTCACCAAATGGTGAACGTGGTGAATAAATGTCCCAAATAAAACAGCCCAGGTGAGGATCTAGTATGATCTCAATACTCGTGCGTGGGAATCTGGTCCAGGGTGGCAGATGATAAATCCAATAAATAAATTGCGCACTCACCAGAAGTCCGTAAAAACATACATTTGAGATATAGCTGTCTCATCAGGTATCAATCAGGTCATCTGCTCCCAGGTCAAGTCAGGTTCCTACACCTTCTGATCACATCTGAAAGGGTGCTCACTATCTGGGGTGAACTTTGAAGAAGGGTCTGCGAATGGCGGCACTCACAAGGAGAGCCAAATAAGGGACACCACATAGCGTGATACTGTATAGGGAACTTTATTCCGTCAAGGGTAGGTGTAAAACAATAATAACAAGGTATTAAAATAGGAAAAAACACTGACCATATGTAAATAAGGATGGCCACCAGTGGTGGCTAGACGTCCAGTTGCTGTAGCCCCCCTGACGCGTTTCGTGCTATTCACGTACTCATAGGGTGCAGGGCTTACAGCTAAAGACGTCTGACTGCATGTATTTATAGTTGAAAATGGCGCTCGCGCTTATCGCGTCCGTCACTTTGCGTTTCGTGCTATGCATGTACTCATAGGGTTCAGGGCTTACAGCTAAAGACGTCTGACTGCATGTATTTATAGTTGAAAATGGCGCTCGCGCTTATCGCGTCCGTCACTTTGCCGACTATCGGCGCAAGCGCAGTGCGCCAGCGCCATTTTGCCGTGGATCGCGAGGACCATAGTTAGTTAATTACTCGGCAGATGCCCCCCCACCCTCCTGCACCCATGACCCTCCCGGTGCACCATACATTTCCCCTTGTGTGCCCCCACCCCTGCAGCGCTGCCTGCTTCCCTCCTCTCCTTCCCCCCAGCAGCTGCAAGCATATAATTGGATCCTTCAGGATGGAAAGTGGGGGAAGGGTCCGGTAAATATGTCACATTTACCAGGCCCTTCCTTTCCTGAATGAACACCACAAGTGATCAATACCAATTGATCATTGTGTTCATTCATAAACCGAAGCCTAGATACATAGTTAGTCTGGCTGAAAAAAGACAAAAGTCCATCCAGTTCAACCAATCCTATACCCAGTAAACTGTGTTTCTTTTGGGAAGGACCCTGTCAGGTTGGCTGTATGGGGCCCCATGGTTTCTAACAGCTGCCCTGCACTAACAGGGATTCCGGGTGCACAAGTCAGAGCAAGGATAAAAAGTAATCAGTGGAACATTTTTATGTTTGACTTGCGTGCACCTTTAAGGCAAGTAGGAATTCTCGTGTCTGTCCAAAAGCAATAAGAAAATGACGAAGAGGTCCTGTCCCGCTGAAAGACAGATTTCCATCTGCTTCAAATGACGGGATTGCCAGACGGAGCCATCTTTTCATAATCCCGGCTGACGACTGACAGATAGTTCTTCTATGGATCTCAGCATGTGTTTGTGATTCTCTACTAATTTTCTGTAGCAGGCTGGCTCTGGTCTAAGCCTTGTCTTTCAGACCGGTCATTAATTACACCTTGTCACCTGGAAAAGTAACTCTTTCCTTATACTCAGGGCCAGTTAAAGCTGAACACCGCACACCCTGGTTATAGTACTTAACCTCTTGCCATATACGCTGTGGCAAGAGAAGTGGCCCAGAGCAATCAAAATAATATCGCTCAAATGCCCCTCAAACCTGAATCAGTTGGACCAGCATATGGAAAGATTGGTGCAACACAGACAGGATTGGCTTGTCAGTGTCAGGAATGGACTTGCCAATGGTGGTGGGACTCACCTGCCTTGTGGGCTGCAGTACCAAGACTGGCCAGCGGGTGCTCTCAGCAACCAGAAGCTCACTCCTGCAGTCAGCCATCACCTGAGGCTGATTGCAGGGGGTGTATTTAAGGAATGGCCAGACCTGCAGTCAGTGCCTTGGTGTATGTTTCCCATGAGCCCCTGTACCTGTATCCTGTCTGCTTCCTGCCTGATCCTGACTCTGCTTTGGTCCTGACTCTGAATGAACTCCGCCTGTCCTGACCTCGGCTCTTTACCTGACTACTCTCTGCCTGCTCCTCCTGTACCTACCTGACCGATAGTTACCGACCCGGCCTGCCTGACTACGCTTTTGTTCCCGCACATATTGAGACTAGCTTAAGGTTTGGTTTTGCACTGTGTGTTCTGTGTATTGTGTACCTTAAATAAATTATATTACTTTTACACCATACTTGAGTCTGCGTTTCCCTGTGTCAGTCCACACATCTCTGGTCATACCTGTAACCCTGACAGTCAGGCTTCAGTAGACTAAAACAAAAAAATGGCGGCCAACTGCACACAGACATCGACTCCCTGTTCCATGAACGTGCATAAAATAGGTGAAAGATGACTTCAGCCACCTGTAGAGAAGAAGAACTCCTCAGCTGTGTTTTGCCCTTTTCGGGGCTTACTTGTAGGGGTCACTACTAGCCTACACAATTTAGCCCGAAAAGGGTGAAACCCATTCTGAAAAGTACCGTACTCTACAGGTGGAGAACAGGAGCTGAACCCATCTTTCACCACAGGGAGTCGATGTCTGTGTGCTGTTGGGCGCCATTTTGTTGAAGGCAAGAAAAGTGGGCTTTAGCTCCCAGCCCAGGGGCGGACTGACAACTCATGGTGCCCCCGGGCAATAGGGGATCATGGGGCCCCTGTGTCCTTGCCCAAACTCAATAAAGCCTATGAAAAAGGTATCAGGGGCATCTCATGGGGCCCCCTACTGACCCAGGGCCCTCGGGCAGTGCCCAAGTTTCCAAATGGTCAGTCCACTCCTGGTGGTCCCTAACCCTCAAGGAGCATACAATCTAAGCTTCCTAACACTCAATCAAGGGGTGTACAATCTAAGGTCTCTAACCCTCAAGGAGCATACAATCTAAGGTCTCTAACCCTCAAGGAACATACAATCTAAGCTTCCTAACACTCAATCAAGGGGTGTACAATCTAAGGTCCCTAACCCTCAAGGAGCATACAATCTAAGGTCCAAATGGTCAGTCTGCCCCTGTCCCAGCCACTGCACATATGCAACCAGGGCAGCCTGAGGTCGTGTCATGGGGCCCCTGGTACCTTTTTATTGGGTTTTCTTGGGTGTGGGCAGGGACACAGGGGCCCCATGATCCCCTATTGCCCTATCCCCGAGTTGTCAGTCCACCCCTGGATGTCCTTGGTACCTTTCATAGGCTTTTTTGGGTGTGATTTGAGTGTGGGCAAGGACACAGGGGCCCCATGATTTCCTATTGCCCGGGGGGCCCCACGAGTTGTCAGTCCGCCCCTGGTGGAGACCATAGACAGCCTCTACTGACCTGAATCCTCAATCACTGCATTCTGAAGGTCCACCACTAACCCTAGCTGAGGGCCAGACAGGGGCGGACTTGCAACTCATGGGGCCCCCAGCCAATAGGGGATCATGGGGCCCCTGTGTCCTTGCCCAAACTCAAAAAAGCCTATGAAAAAGGTACCAGGGGCATCTCATGGGGCCCCCTTCTGACCGAGGGCCCTCGGGCAGTGCCCGAGTTTCCAAATGGTCAGTCCGCCCCTGTCCCAGCCACTGCACATATGCAACCAGGGCAGCCTGAGGTTGTGTGATGAGAGTAGGGTTGCCACCTCATCTCTTTAAAACTGAATACATATTAATGACACAGGTTCTGGGGCTAATTTAATGCAGATAAAGTACTAAGTGAGTTTAATGACCACCTAATTTAAGCCACATGTCTTCGGTTTTAAAGGGATGAGGTGGCAACCCTAGATCAGAGTGCACTCCCAGCACACAGACCGATCAATCACCAACAGTTCTCTGTCTTGGCTTCTGACGTAGGGTTGTCACCTCATCCCTTTAAAACCAAACATATATTAAAGATACGGGTTCTGAGCCTAATTTATTGCACATAAGGCACATAAGTGAGTTTAATTACCACCATAATCAGCCACAGAACCTGTATAATTAATATGTGTTCAGTTTTAAAGGGATGGCAACCCTATTCTGATGGCGAGTCAACCGAAACAGGCTCCCAGTCACGTGACTGCTGTGAGAGTCAATCATGGTGGTCACATGTCTCCGATACTACATAGTTAGTCTGGCTGAAAAAAGACAAAAGCAGGTTCTATACTTCTATACACTGTATCAGGGGCGGACTGACAACTCATGGGGCCCGCAGGCAATAGGGGATTATGGGGCCCCTGTGTCCTTGTCCAAACTCAAAAAAGCCTATGAAAAAGGTACCAGGGGCATCTCATGGGGCGCCCTACTGACCCCGTGCCATCGGGCAGTGCCCGAGTTTCCAAATGGTCAATCCGCCCCTGCACTGTACAGATGTGAAACTTTTCAGGTAGTTTAAAGGGACCCCCTCCAGGTATGATATTTAAAGGAATTTTCATATTTTTGAAAAATTGAAAAATGACTGCCCCTTTAAGAACTGTACTTTTTAGAAAAAATTTTCACTGATACCTTTTTTCGATGCGCCCTGAAAGTTTCATGCTTACTCGTTTCTGTGTACTGAGCAGAAATTCTGCTTAGAAACGCCGTACCGCGTACTCTGGAAAGTAACTGACTGCCACCTGCTGGCCATTCTGTGTAATAGTTTATTTCTGCAGCCAATAAATGACAACTAGAACTTTATTGCCACCATCTCCTGGTGCACTGACAGACAGAGGGCATCACGTAGTGCTGAGAACCTTTTGCACCGATGTCTAAAGCCTGACTCCAGGATAATTTAAAAAAAAACACCTTTGCAGTGCAAGGGGGTCCCTTTGCTTTGCAGCTGTTAAATGCTGATTATTTCCAAGGGAGAGATGAAAAAGCTCTATTACCATTTGTAGGGGCGTTTGAAAATCAGAATTCCAGAGAATGGGGGCGGAGTAGGGGGCAGGGTACATAGTGGTTGTGGCAAAATTGTGCTAATAGTGGAAGGAGTTTAATATGTGACCCTTTACAGAGGGCAGAGGTTAGAAGTATGTTATGTACATGTTATGAACACACGGGGGGGGGGGTCAGGAGTGGGTAATGCACAGAGTGTAGGGGTCAGAGGTATGTTATGTACATAGTGCAGGGGTTAAGTGTGTTAGTACAGACAGTTGGGGTCAGGAGTGGGTAATGCACAAAGTTCAGGGGTCAGAGGTATGTTATGTACATAGTGCAGGGGTCAAGTGTGTTATGTACACACTGGGGGGGGGGGTCAAGAGTGGGTAATGCATAGAGTGTAGGGGTCAGAGGTATGATATGTACATAGTGCAGGGGTCAAGTGTGTTATGTACACACTGGGGGGGGGGGTCAAGAGTGGGTAATGCATAGAGTGCAGGGGTCAGAGGTATGATATGTACATAGTGCAGGGGTCAAGTGTGTTATGTACACATTGAAGTGGGGGTCAGGAGTAGGTAATGCACAGAGTGCAGGGGTCAGAAGCATGTTATGTACATAGTGCAGGGGTCAAGTGTGTTATGTACACACGGGGGGGGGGGTCAGGAGTGGGTAATGCACAGAGTGCAGGGGTCAGAGGTATGATATGTACATAGTGCAGGGGTCAAGTGTGTTATGTACACACTGGGGGGGGGGGGTCAGGAGTGGGCAATGCACAGAGTGCAGGGGTCAGAGGTATGTTATGTACATAGTGCAGGGGTCAAGTGTGTTAAGTACAGACAGTTGGGGTCAGGAGTGGATAATGCACAGAGTGTAGGGGTCAGGTGTATGTAATCTTCTAATGACCTGGCAACAGGAGCTAAGTTCCGATGACGTGGGGTCAACTTCGGCCAGTTCCCAGCTATATCTATATATATTACTATCTATTACTATCCAGCTGAGTCCAGCACTCTCCTTCTCTCTAAGTTGCCACAATCCACAACCATGATTGAGCACATAAGCCCTTTATTGATGTCCCTCCTACCCAGTGGGAGCGAGCTAATTATTTTTTTTTAGTTAGATAGCTAAGTGGGTGATAGTCAGAGGGTCAAATTTGGGTCTGGCTGAGAGGGTCTGCAGATCAGATACCTGATACTCTGATATCTACCCCTGATCTAGAGACTTGGAGAAGTCTTTAGAACTCAGTGGGTTGGGGTGAGGAGAAGCTGGTCTGCACTCTTAAGGGATCCTGACCAATCCCTAAGCAGGAGGCTTGGCATGGGGTCAGGACAGCCCTTAAGAGTAGCTGAGCCTGCTCAGATGCAGGAGAGATAGAGCAGAAGATGGAGTGTGAGGAAGAGCTGTAGGGACCTGGGAAAAGGCCCAGTGGGAAGGGGCCTACCTACAAGCAGGAAACTTGAAAGGAGGATCATTCAGACCTCAACGTCCCCCAAAGTGAGGGCCACCTGTGCAGCAGGGAGGGAGCCATCCCAGTGAGTGGCCTGAAGGCAGTTACCAACCTAACAGCTCACAGGAAAAAGTCCTACAGTAGTAGTCCTACACTCCCTGGGCCAGTTAAGGGGAAAGGAGCATTTGGGTTGGAAACCCAACTCGTTCTATTCCCCGGGACTGTTTCATCTGAAAGTGTCAGGCACTGGATCCCCTTGCCCAAGGATTCCCTCAGGCAGCTGGTGAAGAGCAGATTTAATCTGGGAAAGTACACTAGGAGAGGCTGGAGAGCTCTCCCAGAGGAGATTTCTGTCTAAAAGATTAGTAAATAGTTGCTTAGGAGTTTGTCCTCAGTTCACATGGGCATCTCATGCATCCCTCAACCCTATCCAAGTTCAATACCCCTAATAAAACCTAAAAAAAAACAAGCTCAAGGATTATTTACTGTCTCCAATGTGCACGGTCTGAAGAAAATCTGTGTTGCAGGGCTGGGCAGGATTATAGGGGGACCCAAATCTTCAGTGACTCCTAAGGGGGTAGTGCTACATCTGTGCCCCATTGCGTGGACTTCCCCTTCATTTCCTGTCCAGGTAAAAGAGGGAACCCAAGCTTTTTGGTGGGATCTGAAGGAAGTGCTCTGTGCTACAATAGAAGAGTGCTTACCATTTGATTCCCAATATTGTCACCATTTATGTGAATCAGGGCTTAGACCCTCTATCGATGCCCCGTTTTCCTATCCAGGTACGGAGGGCCTTCAAAAAGCTTCCACACTTATATATAAAAAAGAGTTTAAAAAATATGGAAACTTTTTGAAGAACCCTCGTAAAAGAAGGAACCCAATGAAAGAAGTAATCCTCCCCAGGTGAAAGAGAACAAACTCCATGAAGACAAGATCTTTGGTGGGATCTGAAGGAAGTATCTTGTTGTTAAGATCCACCAGGTGGTGCCTCTGGCAGCCCACTGGACAGACCTACCCAGAGCGTGGAATCTAAGTCCCGGTCTGTGCTTTCACCAGGGCCCCTGATGGTGGGGATGGACTTGTAACAGACCAGGGCCAGGTCACGACCTCCGAGCAGGCCCTCCAGTGGCAGAGGAGGACGGCGGGACCTAGCAGGATGGGTCACGAGCAGCGGTCCCGTGGGGTAAGCGAGGTACAGAATCGTCAAGCAAAGAGTAGTCAGGTCACACGCAGGGTCAGCAGGATAAGTCAGTCCGCAGATAGGTCAAACAAGCCGAGGGTCAGGAGAGGAGAGGGCAGAGTAGTCAGGACATTTGTGATGCAATAGAAGAGTGCTAACCATTCAATTCCCAATATTTTCATCATTTTATATGAAATAGGACTTAGACCGTCTATCTGTACCCCTGTTGGAGAGATTTTCCTTTGTTTCCTGTCCAGGTATGAAGGGCCTTCAAAAAGTTTCCTCACTTTTATATATATAATAGAGCTTAAAAAACGTGTGGACACTTTTTGAAGAACCCTTGTAAATGAAGGAACCCAATGAAAGAAGTAACCCTCCCCATGAAGACATGACCGATACCTTTGGTGGGATCCAGGGGCGGACTGACAACTATGTGGGGCCCCCAGGCACTAGGGGATCATGGGGACCCTGTGTCCTTGCCCAAACTCAAAAAAACCTATGAAAAAGGTACCAGGGGCATCTCATGAGGCCCCCTACTGACCCCGAGACCTCGGGCAGTGCCCGAGAGTTTCTAAATGGTCAGTCCGCCCCTGGTGGGGTCTGAAGTAAGTATTTTCTGATGCAATAGAAGAGTGGCAACCACTCAATCCACAATGTTGTCACCATCTACTACTTTATATTATTCAAAATGAGCCTAAAATATATAAAAAAAATAAGCTCAAGTACCTAGGGTTTACAACATTGGAAAATGCCAAGATATACTGTATTACCCATAAGGAATTGGTTGGCCTGGGGGTGCCCGTAGATAATCCATATCCATAGACATACAGTATGATCCTTTTCCTCTCCCATCATTATTTCCTAGGCTGGACAATCATCTATGGGCAGCCTTGTAGTCAACATTCCTCAGATATCGGAGTGCTTTGGTGAAGACTGTGGGGAAGAAAAATAAGTGCTTTCAGATCATAAAAACTCTAGTCCATCCATGACAGTACCCCTGGTCTTGAAGTGGTTAATGAAGGACATACATATAAATATATATATATATATATAACATATATATAGCTCACAGCTGTGTCCCATGAAGGGACTTGGTGCCCTCTTGTGCACAAAATAAAATATTACAATCTGTGGTTTGCTTGATTTTACACTATTTGTTATTACCAGGGGCGGACTAACCATTTGGAAACTCGGGCTCTGCCCGAGGGCCCGGGGTCAGTAGGGGGCCCCATGAGATGCCCCTGGTACCTTTTTCATAGGCTTTTTTGAGTTTGGGCAAGGACACAGGGGCCCCATGAGCCCCTGTTGCCAGGGGGCCCCATGAGTTGTCAGTCCACCTCTGGTTTATTACAGAACATATTAGATAGCAAAAACAGTTTTTTTTTATTAAATATTTGGATGGTTTCCTTCAAACTTTATTTTTAAGTCATCCTTTATAATTACAGCAAGGGTCCCTGTGGATCCGAGTCTAACTAAGGGGTCAGCTGGAACCCCCACCATCTCTATACCCCAAAAAGCCCCGTGAATTAGCTGCAGGTTAATTTCAATTATTTAAAAAAAAACATACATAAATTGAAGAGCTTCATACAATTTTAAATGCCTAAATATAGGCACCTAGAATTGTCCAGTCTGCAGAGAATTGTTGTATAGATCCTGAATTGCACAATTTTTAACAGATCACCCAGACCTGCGTGAAAATGATCAGATGGTTGAAAATGTTCAAGTGGATTCTACCAATTTGAACCCTACTTAGAAACTGGAAATCTGCTCCTGCTAGGTGCACAGTGGATGACCAGGAATAACTGGGGTAGATGACAGTGAGTAGACACCTGGTGTTCGGTGTGCCAGCTCTCTCGGTAATGGAGAGAGCCCTCTAACCCACATGGAAGAAAATATATTTTAAATATATTTAAAAAAATATTCTACCCAAATATATTGACATATATTTGAAATATTACAATTTTGGCCATATTATATATATATATATATATATATATATATATATATATATATATATATATATATATATACTGTATATATAATATTTAAAAAAATACATATATTTTTATATATAAATATTTTTAGAAATACATTTTCAAATATACTGTATGTCTTTAAAAATACAAATCTACATGTTTGGAATGCATTTACAAATATATGTAAAAATATCTGTTAAAATGACTTTTTTATATGTTTAAAATAAATCTGAAGAATTTATTTAAAAAATATATGTTTAAAAAAATATTTTTCATATATTTTGTAATAATATATATATATATATATATATATATATATATATATATATATATATATATATACACACACACTGTATGTTAAAATACCTTTTTATATATATATTACAAAATATATGAAAAATATTATTTTAAATATATATTTTTTAAATAAATTCTACTATTTTTTTAAACACATAAAAGACTAATTTTAGCAGATATTTTTACATATATTTGTAAATGCATTCCAAACATGTAGATTTGTATTTTTAAAGACATACAGTATATTTGAAAATGTATTTTTAAAAATATTTGTCGTGCTTTGTAATAAAAACGCATCTCAACATGCAGTATATATATATATATATATAATATATATATATATATATATATACATATATTTATTTATTGAAATATATTTTGAAATCTACTGAATACGGCTACAATTGTAGCATTTCAAATATATGTCAATATATTTGGGAAGAATATTTTTAAAATATATTTCAAATATATTTTTCTTCCATGTGGGTAGCGGTCCGGGCCCTGGGTCAGTAGGGGGCCCCTTGAGATGCCCCTGGTACCTTTTTCTTAGGCTTTTTTGAGTTTGGGCAAGGACACAGGGGCCCCATGATCCCCTATAGCCCGAGGGCCCCATGAGTTGTCAGTCCGCCCCTGGTCAGCATCCTCAGTACTACATAGAGCTCTCATGACTGCTAAGGTGTTTTTTCATTCTCATACTTCCTCCCGGTTATCCTCAGTACATCTGCGGTGTATTGCGACATTGCTGCTCTGAGCGCAGGGGAAGTCGGTGTCGTAGTCCGTCATTCGTAGTATTGCACTTTCTTGCTGTACAGCCAGTAATGGACAATTCTGGAATAACTGGCAATGCTGGTTGTCGCTATTTCCTTTTATTCTCAATAACTGTGTGCTTGATTATGCGGATCATGATGATCGCAGTGGTCTCGTGAGTAGACAATCCCACCCAGGGCCAGATCTAGGGGGATTCTGGGGTGGGATGTGCCCCCCCCCCCAAGATTTTAGTTGATCCCCCTCAAGTCTCTGAGAGTGCACCCATTCATCCATGAGTCAGCCTTATGGGGGCAATAAATGTAAGGGAGCACACCGATGCAGACAGTTAATGTAGGGGGCACTCTGATTTGGACAATCCATGTGTGGGGGTACTGTCATGGGACTTACCTGGTGTAAAGGAGCACTCTGATAGGGAAAATCTATGTAAGGGATCACTGTGATTAGGGATACCTGATGTAAGGGGGCTCTCTGGTCTGGACACCTGATGTAAGGGGCTCTCTGGTCTGGACACCTGATGTAAGGGGCTCTCTGGTCTGGACGCCTGATGTAAGGGGCACTCTGATGGGGGCACATAATGAAAGGGCGGCGCTCTGATGGGGTAACTGATAATATGTAAGGAGGCACTCTTAATGGGAACTGTTATTGTAAAGGGGGTAATTGATGGGAACAACTGATATAAGGGGGCACTCTAACGGGGACACTGGATGCAAGGGGGCACTCTGATGGGACATAAGATTTAAGGGGCACTCTGATGGGGACAGTTGATGTAAGGGGGCACTCTGATGGGGACAATTGATGTAAGGGGGCATTCTGATGGGGACAACTGATGTAACAGGGCACTCTGAGGGGGACAATTGATGTAAGGGGGCATTCTGATGGGGACAACTAATGTAAGGGGGGACTCTGATGGGGACAACTCATGTAAGAGGGGACTCTGAAGGTGACAGTTGATGTAAGGGGGCATTCTGATGGGGACAACTGATGTAAGGGGGCACTCTGATGGGGACAACTCATGTAAGGGGGGACTCTGATGGGGACAACTCATGTAAGGGGGGACTCTGAAGGAGACAGTTGATGTAAGCGGGCACCCTGAAGGGGACAGTTGATGTAAGTAGGCACTCTGATGGGGACAACTGATGTAAAGGGGGACTCTCATAGGGAAAACTGAGATAAGGGGGCACTCTAATGGGGACACTGGATGCAAGGGGGCACTCTGATGGGACATTGGTTTTAAGGGGCATTTCGATGGGGACAGTTGATGTAAGCGGGCACTCTGATGGGGACAACTTATGTAAGAGGGAGGGGACTCTGATAGGGACAACTAATGTAAAGGGGGACTCTGATGGGGACAACTGATGTAAGTGGCACTCTGACGGGGACAACTGATGTAAGGGGGGGACTCTGAAGGTGACAGTTGATGTAAGCGGGCACTCTGATGGGGACAGTTGATGTAAGGGGGCACTCTGATGGGGACAACTGATGTAAGAGGGCACTCTGATGGGGACAACTGATGTAAGGGGGGACTCTGATGGGGACAACTGATGTAAGGGGGCACTCTGATGGGGACAACTGATGTAAGGAGGGACTCTGATGGGGAAAACTGATATAAGGGGCCACTCTAATGGGGGTACTCTAATGGGGACACCGGATGCAAGGGGGCACTCTGAAGAGGACAGTTGATGTAAACAGGCACTCTGAAGGGGACAACTGATATAAGGGGCACTGTAATGGGGACACTGGAAGCAAGGGCGCACTCTGATGGGACATTGGTTTTAAGGGGCATTTCCATGGGGACAGTTGATGTAAGGGGGCACTCTGATAGGGACAGCTGATGTAAGGGGGCACTCTGAAGGGTACACTGGCTCTCCAGGATGGCGGCTGAACATTTGCAGACTCACAAACCCATTCTGATATAATTTTAAAAAAAAGATTTTTCTCAAGAGGCGGAAACCCATTATGGGCTCTAGCAATGTGTTAGAATTGCACATCAGCGCATATTACTTTGTATTGACATATAGTGATGGGCCGAACACCCCCCTGTTCAGTTTGCGGTCGAACATTCGAACCTAACAACAGTTTGACCACGAACTTTGAATAGAGATGTATCTTACTCAGGGGCGGACTGACCATTTGGAAACTTGGGCACTGCCCGAGGGCCCGGGGTCAGTAGGGGGCCCCATGGGATGCCCCTGGTACCTTTTTCATAGGCTTTTTTGAGTTTGGGCAAGGACACAGGGGCCCCATGATCCCCTATTGCCCGGGGGCCCCATGATTTATCAGTCCGCCCCTGATCTTACTGCGTCTGTGTATGTGGTAAGATACCGCACAGCTACTAAAAACACTCTAATGTTTCAGCTGTCAATGGGTTATACAAAAAGAATGGGGTCCCCAGATCCCGGCCTCTCCCCTATGTGAATAAGTATGGGGTATATGGTACCCATTCACAAAAAAAAAAAAAAAAAGTGTAGCGTAAAAAAGGACAGTAGACAGTCTTTGACAAGTCTGTTACTACAAATAAAAATTTAAAAAAAAAAAATGTCCCTTGAAGCAAATCCAATGTCAGTCATGATGCCTGCTGCCGACCCGAAAAAAGAAAGAAAAAAAAAATTCTGCTCTCGACGCTGGCTCCCGGCTGTCTGACAGCTGCGCCACGATGACAGTCCTTTAATACAGTAATGATGTCACAAGGGGGTGGGGTCACCCCTAGCCCTTGTGACGTCATCATGCTCTGTGATTGGCCAAAGCATTGCACCTGACCTGTGGTCAGGTGCATTGCTTTGGCCAATAGCAATGCACTATCAGGGCGCAATGCACTGTGGGGCGAACAGCCTTCCGAACGCCCATACCGTTCGACTCGAACGTCTAGCCCAACATTAGTGACAAAATTAAAGTTCATAAGTTCAACAATTGCATTGGAGAAAAAATTATTGTTCTTCCAAGGATTCAAGCAATGGATATTTTCTGGTCACCCAGACACAACCACATGAAATGAAGTCTTTAAAAAACACAAAAAACAAAAACAGTGTTTTTTTTTTACACTGATTGCTTTTACACCCATAAAGGCTGTAAAAGTAATCATTTCTCTTTTCTGCTTGCAGCCATTGAGAAATACTGTGAGAGCTGTGATTGGTCACAGCTTGTCACATGGTACAAGGCTGTTGTGAATAGCCCTGTACCATGTGATCTCTGTGATCACAGATTTCACACGTAGTAAGCAATGATGTCAGGAAGTGATATCTTGCTTACACCTATTTATGTGATCACGGAGTGGCCAATCCGTG